ACCGATGGAAACATCAGAGTAATTGCATCATTTTCTTTTCAATCATACCGGAGAAGTTTATTCACACATTCAGCCACCAAGAAATGTCAGATCTTATCGCACGAAATCGAGAGCGTTGCCACCATTCGCACGCTATTTTTTCGAAATCTGATCGCATTTTAGCGCTTTCGCATAGCATTGTTTACTCGAAATGGACATCGTGAACGAGTGACGAACTGAAAATTGTCGCCTTATGACAAACGCGGGGCCTTTGACCGTCGTTTGTCGGTATAAAACTAGTGAAGATCCGCTTGAGGTTAGTCTGCTGCCGAAATGGAACTGGACAACCGACGGAAGGCCTACCGGATCGTCTCCTACTCGGCTGTAACCTTTGCGGTATTCGCTGTGCTGTCGTTAAGTATAACGATGCCAATGGTTTACACTTATGTGAATCATGTGAAGCGGAGCATGACTCACGAGATCCGTAACTGCAAGGTAATTTTCTAGCTCTTTCATAGCCATTTCGGTCAATTATTTGCTTTAGAGCACCGCTACCAACATCTTGGAAGAAGTCTCACACATTAGCAGCTTCCCTGCAAACAGAACAGTCCGTCAGACGGGTTACGAACAAGACGGACCAGCTCCCAGTACTTCCACTGGACCAGCTCCCACTCCTTCCAGTTCCTCCAGTGGCGGAGACAGCAGATGCAGCGGCTGTTGTAGCCCTGGACCTCCAGGAGTGGCAGGAGAACCAGGACGACCAGGAAAATCTGGTAAACATGGAGCCCCAGGAATGCCAGGAAATCCCGGCAAGCCGCTGGGTGTTTCTTGCGAGCAGCCGACTCTACCACCATGCAAACCATGTCCAGCCGGACCTCCTGGTTTGAAGGGACGCAAAGGATACCCTGGTCCAGCAGGTGCTCAAGGAGCACGAGGAGCACCCGGTCTGCCAGGACTACCCGGTGAGCCAGGACCAAAGGGACCACCCGGACCTGATGGTGGTATGGGTCAATGCGGTAAAGTAGGAGACAAGGGACAAGATGCCTACGCTGTTCCCGACATACCAGGAGAACCAGGAAGCCGTGGACCACCTGGACCACGAGGACCTCCAGGATTGGAAGGATTCCCAGGAAAGGATGGTCCTATGGGTAAGTGATATACTTAGTAAGAAGTATTCATAGTGCTTAGTGCGTCAAAAATTGCTTTAGGTAAAATGGGACCAGCTGGACCTGCCGGACCAAAAGGATTGCCTGGTCTTCCAGGTAAACCCGGAAAAAGCGGAAAACACGGAAAGAAAGGAAAGGATGGAGAACGAGGCATTTGCCCGAAATACTGTGCAATGGATGGCGGTATCTTCTTTGAGGACGGCAGCACTCGCTAGTTGCGCTCGGCTTTTGCAGAGTGTCTCAATAAAAGTTTAGGATTTATGTTTGGTCAAGCGTGACCCTAATTTAAGGTCCAACAGCAAGTGAATTCGTCATGATAGCGCCTAGTCCAAGCATACTAAAGTCTGAACACAGTAATTTTTTAAAACAGAAAAACTTCTCAAGCACACGCTTTT